TTTCATTTCTGAAATATGCTCCTATCCTTCTTGCATACGCTGGATGACAGCTTTTCAGCTGAGGCTGAGGCATTAAACCCAAAATGGCTGAAGCACTGGTCAAAGACAAATCTCTTCTAAAAAATTTAGCAAGCTACATTATTCAAAACTATTCAGCAAGCATTCAAGCTACAACATGATGGATGCGCAGGCCAGTCTGGGTACACAGCTAATCAATATCACCCTCATGAATAGTCACTGCATAGTGTGGAGCCTGATGTGGAGGAGACAGGTGCATGTGGTTAATATTCGGTACCACAAGCAGTGCCCTCGACTTCAGCCTGACCACTCGATACAAATCCCAGCTACACCCAGACAGCTTTGTAGAAAGAGGCAGGGCACAGGTTTTATGACACCTGTGGCAAACACTTAAGACATTACAAACGCCCTTGGATAGTTGTGCTTTTGTGAACTTTTAGAAAAGGCTACTGTTTACTGCAGTCCAGATTTAATGACAACACTAACTGTATAAAACCATTTGGTTTTCAATAGGCTACGACACAACACTCGTGATCAAGCACACAACTCAAGTACATTAATGTGCATTACTTGAATAAATTCCCCCCTGCTTAAACCACTGAATATAAAGGTTTTCCTCGTACATTTGACTAATCAATACTTGGAATCAAATACGTCTTGTTTCAAGAGGGAAAAGGAAAATGAATGAGGTTAAATTAATGCTGTCACTTTCTATAAACTGGCAATAGTTTCCCGCTACAGAAACCACTAACTTCATTATTTTGCAACAGGAAATCAACGCTGTAGCACATTTTAAAAGTCTAATTTACTAGAGCAATAAAAAGGCACCCTCAAGGCTCATCATGTATGTCATATTATGCTTAGTTTTAAGCATTCCAGCTTAAGAACAGTAGGCAAAACTCTCAGCAAATCAAGTTGATTAGTATTTTGAATTTGTATGCTGTAGTGCTCTCCACTCACTAAGTACTATATAAATATTATTTTATTAAATTTCAAAGCAATTGTGTTAGGTGGGATAATAAAATGTCTCTGTCTTACACTCTTTATCTCAAAAATACAGCCTTTGAAACAGAAGCAAAAGCAGTACATTAAAGCAGTAAACTCACAGTCAGAAGGTCAGAAGTGAGAGTACTCCAGACTTCTAAAGCTGTTTTAAGACTAGCAGGGCACAGAAATCTACAACCAAAAGAGATGCATCTGCCTGAGGTTTGCAAGTATCTCCTTATCTACTATTGCATGGTTAGGGAAAAAGTTGGGGATTTTTTTTTTTTATTTTCTAGTACTCATCAGGGTTCTTAGAACCTTTTTGAAGGAACCCTATTTCATGAAGATGCTGCTGGAGGGCAACTAGCTCATTAGGGAAAAGTTGAGAGGACAGAATAAGAACACAAGTAAAAAATGAGTTGGAGTAATAAATAAATAAAAACCCAAACACAAACAATGAAAGAGGTAACAGATCTTTACCTTTTTCTCCTTTCTAACTCTCTATGTTAATTAATAGAGTATTCCACTTTCTGGAACAATGTCTCCTTGACTGCCAACTGGTTCCTCGCTCCTCTTTAGAAAACTCCTTAATAGCCATTTCTCCCAGAAATCCTTCTAACAGAATCATATTTTCTATTCATAAATGGTCCCTAAAATTATGGTTGATTGATATGACACAATTCTTTTGTTAAATTATTATTATATTGTCAGCCTCAGTACAAAGTCAAAAAGACATATACGCACCCTGGCAAATACTGGTTCTTTACAACCACGCAGCTAAAAGTAAAAACTATTGTAAATCATGTCTTAACTAAAAAATTTCTAAAAAACTAAAGCTCCTTACAGCATTTCAGAGACTTTTGCAATTTGTCATTAACCAACCAACTGTATTTATTAACTGAGGCACTATGCTTCAGAATTGCTATGTTTCAATGACACAGCTTGCCGTGCACAGCCTCCTGAATAGTTTATGATAGTCAAATTAAAAAATGTGACATTAGCCCTTGTATTTGTGTCATTTCTCATCGAAGATTTTCATAGGCTTTTCAAGTTTACTTATCCTTAGGTATTCCCTAGTTATCCCTCTGTAACAACTGAAGAAAGAACTGAATTCTTTTACAATTAATCCTCTTCATATTTCAATGTATTTTTTAAAATACTGATGAGAGCCTCTCTTGGAACATTTCTCCCTACAGTAATTCCCCACAGAATTGCTTACTGGGAGCCAAATGGGGCAGACATGAATTGCAATATGGCTCTAGGACTGAGGGCTTTAGCCAAATAAACGCTATAATCAGCATCAGTACGTAGAACATCAACAGGATTTTTATTGTACTACAAATAGTCACAGTAGTGTTGATAACTCTGACTTCAAGAAGAGACTAATTTTAATCTTTCCGTGCAAGACACAGCATTTTCTATCATATTTTTACACTCAAACACTTTCATTTTGACAACAGACGTAGAAGACTCCCACATGACTTCAGTATGATACACGTGTGCATGTCAGATACAAAGATCTCCTTCAAGTATTTGAGAAACACATGGAACTTGTTAGGAAAGTAAACAAATACAGCAACAAAAACACTAAAATACATAAAGCTGACATAACATAGGGTTGAATCTTATATATGACAGACAGCACATACCAGCAGGGAAAAGAAGGCTCACAAACCTGTATGTCTGATTGTGTTGACTGAATTTTAGTGAAGCAAGCCACAGTTAAACTGTCAAGCCCACTGTCTTAAAGAAGCCTTTATCAAGAGTTCAACAAACCTGCTACTAGCAGAAATTATGGAAAATCATTTACTCTTCAGGCCACTCACATATTCAAAGAATGAAATAGTCCCTTGGTTTTTTTCAAATTCAGTTAGAATAATATGATCTACCAGTACTGCCTCATCCTCTGTATGTCATCTGTTGTCCTCTTGTTTCTGAAGGGGCCAAGATTAAAGATCTTTTAAAAAACATAGAGTGCTTCCCATACAAAGAGCTTGTATGTACATGTTCAGAAACATGATCACTTTCAATTTGTTGAGTTTATAAAAGTTTAAAGTTTTGCATTACACTAGTTGTATATCTTCAACATGCTTCATCACTTCTGTATTCCGGTGCCTATTTAAAAAATCACATCAACAATACTTCATAATGTATTTTAACTGAAGAAGTTTATAAGAATTCTATTTAGGTATGAATGGAGAGGCCTATTGAAAAAAATAAGCAAGCCCGAAAGTGAAAACAGAGAATGGACTGACTTGGAATTACTAAAGGATTTTGGTTGAAAAGTCTTAAATCCTGGGAGTGAGCCGTAGCTTAACACAGGAATCAGAAAAGCAACTTTTAAAAAAAATGTTTACCTTATATCGGTATCTAACTCAAGGGTTTTCTGTACTGCAGTGGTATGCAAATGCTAAAAAACTCGGAAAATCAAGTCTCTTACCTCAAATATCTTAAATTAAGAGGATGACTTACAATCACACTAACCATTTTTTTTGTGCCAGATCCTAACACAAAGACATCAGCTTTTCTGTGTCATCTTATGAAACTGTGTCAACTTATACTGTGGCTCTGCCCTTCCAACTCTTTCTTCCAGCTGAATGACTCAAAAACAACAGTGGTAGCTAGGCAAATCCTAAATTTTTTGCAGCTAGATCCACCACCAAACAAATAAATCAAAGAGCAAATATTACTAAGATAAACACATTTGTTTTTAAAGACAATGTGCACACTGCAACATCAGTCTCTACTGCTCAGAATAGAAATGGTCACCATTCTTCAAAGGGCAGTGCAGATCTCTGTTTTAAAAGCATGTCATTTTCTCTGGATAATGAGCCAAGAGGAGAAAGATTATGTGTCATATCACATCTCCATCTTAATTACTTCTCTATCAAGTATAATGTCATTTAGGCATTATGATCTCAGTTGTTCCAGAAGCTGCTACAAATCTTTGTAATCATACGCTGGACATAACTTTTCCTTCACTGTTAATTTAGTGCTTTGTAAATATAAAAAAAGGGGGAAAACACAGGTGAGGCCACGTGCAACATGTCAGGGAAGTTTAGTTATGGAAAATGGTTCTGCCAGTTCATTTATTTCCAAGAGGTCCAGGGAATAAACAAGTCAAAGTTGAAGATGGCACATACCAGCCAGTACATGGCTCAAAAACCACACTTTCACGTGAGTCTGCAGGAATGGGCACTATTGGCACCTCTGTGGGTGAATGGACAAACAGGGGTCAGAAAACAGGGTAAGTAAAAGAGAGGGTGAGAATTATTCCTACTTAAAATAAGAGTAACACAACAGAATACAAACTCAGAACTCTACCTGTGATCAAGTACATGTATGTTTTAAGATTCTCCAAACCCTTTTACATTGGCAGGACTTTTCACATTCACAGACTAGACACTACACTGCCCCATACAAGAGCCAAAGGAAATGCAGAGTTTCTCAGGTGACACAACTTAGCACGACCTTGCATAATCCTATTATAAAACTGTACTGAACACTCTATGAACTGATCTTGTTTATTGCTACTAATCAAGGCAGTGCAACAGGGCTTTAACCAACTCATGACAGAAACTATGAAGTTACACTCACATATCAAGTCAAGCCTTCTTTATTTGAAGATTATTCTGGCACACACAAAATGTGATCGCAATTATATCAGCAATGCTCTTTTTGTAAATGCCTGGGGTAGGCAGTAGTCACTTTAAGTGTCTAGGAAAACAGATGGGTCTGCCCTTGGTGCTGAAATTCTTATGCAGCTATAAAAATCAATTCCGTTTCATAACTGACCATACAAAGTCCAAATGCAGTGTAAAGAGCATTTTTTCTGATCAATTACACATTTAGAAATAACGCAACAAAGCGCATACTGCTATTCCCCTTCCAAGAAAATTACTCCTTTTTATTTCCAAGTAATTGTACGGAATACATTTACTTTATATTCCCAGAATAACAGTACTGCACTCAAGATGGTCAGTGTTTATCTGACTTACCAGAACGATGGTGATGTTGTTCTTCTAGGAACTCCAGGTCAAGCATTAGGTCATCTTCATCCAACTCACAGGAACCCAAGTTATTCAAAACATCCTAATATATATCAAAAAAAAAAAAAAAGGACAATTTAGATAGATGTGTTAGCCATATTGCTCTGCATAAAATAATTACCAATCAGATCTGGAAAATACGTTGAAGCAGGAGCTACAGAAAACTTATCTGCAAACACTGGACCAGTGAAAACAGGTATGAAACAACTGTCCAAATGTATTTGCCACCAGTCTCTCTGATAAGAGGATCTCAAATATTTAACCAAAAATCCCTAAGTACAAGTAATACTATCTATACAACTTTTTTAAAACATTCAGGGATGGGTGTCTTTGCAAGTCTAATCGTAACTTCTTATAAAGACAAAAAGTGTTATTCTTAGGACAACATAAAAGTAGCAGTACTTGGTTTTTATTAAATTTTGAAATTCTAAGCACCGCCTGCCCTTACCAATATACTCTGAAGAGAGACTTACTGTTCTATTTATCCAAAGGATAAAGAGACACAAATTTAGGATAAACAGGAAATTCAGGCATGAATTATCAACTCATGAATTTTTAAGTATTTCTGTGGGTGGCAAAGGCTAACATGGACAGACAAGAAAGCTGACTGTGAAGTGTGGCTGCTTAGGTCCCCATTCCCTTTTGGCAGTTCATTTTGTTTCCCAAGGTTTAACCACAGACAGATAAGGTAGCTTTACATGATGCATCCTCTGGAAAGATAAAATGGGTAGAGGGGCTACAATTAAAAGAGAGAAAAATAGCAGCTTTTCACGCTACCTAATCTCTACAGGATTAGCTCCTCAGAAGATAAAATGACTACTTATTTCTCAGGTAGACATCTTCACTCTGTAAACTCTGAGTACAGCAATATCACAATCTAGGCTTCATCTGGGGTCATGAAGTGGTGTTAGCTCGGACTTTGCAAAGCCCTGCCTGGAAAACCAGGGTCTGCAGCCAGACACAGGAACGACAATCAGTCTCAGAAGAGATGAACTGCTGACAGGGGACAGAGAGGCACTCTTGGAAGCCATGGCTGAAGAAAGCCTCTCCTCTGCCATCAAGGGAGAAGGCAACAGACACCAGAAGAGTTCACTTTCTGGTTCCCTGTTCTTATGTTCACCAGAGGCAACTTTGGAAAATGCGGCAATGAGGTAATTTTTTTCTCTAGCCCCCACCAACTTCAAGTGGCTATACTCAATGTATTAAAAGTGACAGTCATAACCCCTTTTCTTCCCATGTATATTTTATTCTACAGTAATTTCTTTTGACATGATATTATGATTTACTTCACAGTTACCAACATCTAATCACAGGTAATTCATGCATTCTCCAGTTGGCATTTTGTTTGAATCTACAAGCAATATTGCATAGCCAACTTCTTCAATCCATCCACAAGCAAAAAAAAGTCAGTAGATCCTGCATGAGATGCTGGCACTCCTTCCATTTCACATGTTCCCAATACAAATGGAACCCAGACAACATGGCAAATCAGTGTGAAGGAGGCCAGGTTATTGTACCAAAGTATCAAGCTGTCTGTGAGATCCCAACATGGCAATCTGCTGTATAGAAAGCATAGAAATATAACAGTTATATACATTAAACTACTAAAGGCCCTTCCTGACTTCAGTTCAAACCATTTTTTTTAGGTTCCTTCTAATTCTTTTAAGTATTTTCCCACCATAATAAATGTCAATTCTTATTCATACTCACCACTTGTACCTAATTCAATCTTTTTGAGTAATTATTTCTTCAAAATCTTTCACAAACAACACACAGGCAACACAAGGACTTTTCCTTGCATTTTTTTCCCTAACTTACCATCAGTACAGGAAAACCTCTTCTGAGATACAGAACCCACTGCTATTACTATATTTTTGCTCCCTTTTTAAATTTAGATGCTCAAGCTTGAGCAAATGGCATGTTAAACAACTCAGAGAAAGCACAACGTATCTTGTTTATATATTGTTCTATTAATGTAAGCAAAAGACTTGGAGGAAAAGGTCCAGGAGAATAATTCTTGCAATTTGTAAGCAACAGCTAAATGTTTTTCATACTAGTAGAGGTAAAAGGTCAAAAGGTTGAGGTACACAGGTTTGTCTATTCAACTGAATCCACATTAAATCCATATTAAAGCTGAGAATCCTTTGATAAGCTATACCAGCAGCAAGGAGCATGATTTCATGCTAATTGAGCATCTTCTACATTTTGTGCAGTAACTTATGCGTGGTCTGAAATCTTAGGAGATTGCCTGTGAAAACATAGTGATTCACAGCCCTCATCAAGAAACAAATTCCATTTGATTTGGAATAAACAAACATATACAAACAGAACCACAGTTTTCTAAATTAAAAAAAATCCTGTGTAAGATTGACCAAAAATAAAATGTTTGTATACAACTCTCCTCCTTATTGTTGCATTTCAGGACCATCTTCACTTGCAATAACCTCCAGAGAGGATGTAAACCATGCTCCATCTAGCCTCTCTGTCCTGTGAGGTTGAAGTACACCCTGCTACTCAAAACACCACCTCTTGTCCACTTGAGCTGAGGGCTCCCAGCTGCCCTCCCAATGCACCTCTGCCCTGCCTTGCCTACAGTCTCTTCAGCTGCACCAACAGCAGGGCAAGCTAAAGTGACAAAGAAAAGCTCCCCCAGGTTTATTCTTCCCATAAGTACCTCCTCCAGGGAAATGGTCTCCCTCTATTCCCAGGAGCTCCCTTGTTCTTTATAAAGGGGCAAATGACAGAACTGGGACCAAACAAATTAGAGTAGCCACTCTCCACCATGGCAAGAACGAGGGCTTGGCAGAGCTGCTCCCCCTGCCAAGGACGGCAGTGACGGCAGTGCAGCTGCCTCTGCGCTGATCACTCACCTGCAGGCAGAGTTCTTCCACAGACACAAACCAAAACTGAATTCACGAATGAATAAAAGCCCGCTCAAGCAGAGAGCATTAGTTAAGTTCCCAGGGCTGTTCTAACTGCGTAATATTTTCTGAAAACATATAATTAGAAAATAAGAGCGCCAGGTTCCTAGAATGACCTGCCTCATGTCACAGAACAGTTCAGCACATTGTGAGTGCACACCAACCTCCTTCACCCCTCTGCTTTCTCACCAAGATCCATTACTCCTTTGTCGCTATGACAATTATTAAAAATTGTAATTTCTTTTAAAGTTTAATATCTCTTGACCTTTTTCCTGTGCTCCCCCTCACCACTGATGCTGCATCCTTTGAAGAATAGCGTAATTAAATATTAAAAAAAATAAGAGAGATCAAGCCCTGAAGAGTATTCCAAGTAAATAGTTTCTAGGCTTTGCTACCTAAAGAAAAGGAAATTAATGCATCCATCAAGGTCTCTCCTGTTCAACACGGGCCACAACCACTTTAAAAACTGGTAAACCCACGTTACCAACCATCTTTTCCACCTCTGACTTGATTAACTACCACTGTTATTAAACATCTCTATTTAAACAAGAATTTAGTAGAGATAACTTAAACATTATTAACTCAGAATAAAAAGTAGCAGAGTAAAATGCTTTAGGATGCTTTTCATAACTGATAATGGTTGTAGCAGAACAGAATGCTAATCCAAGAATATTTCAAGGTATCAGTAACTTCTTACTAATAAATTTCATATTTAAAATTCTTTCAGCAACAACAAGAAGTATAAACTGCTATTTTCATCCAACAGTTAGCTTTTTACTCAAGGCTCATTGAACTAAAACATTTTAGTGATAGAGATGTATTAGACACGCAGTTCCTCCCAGCCAGATCACGTGTATCTCAACAGTAAGTTTACTAAGGTTTGCTAAATGGTATTTCCTTCCTCCCTTAGTACCCTTCCTATCTCCTTTCTCTCTTTACAGCTTCCCTTCCTATAACCACTCAAAGGAAATCTAATGTATAATACATAAATTTCAGTCCCTTTCCAGAATAGTCAAGTATTTAATTTTTTTTGTCTACCTGTTCAGTACTTAAAAAGAGTTTGAAAGCTGGAACAAATAACAACAGGTTCAGCAGAATACATATAAAATGTCCAAGATAACAGGTCTCAAATTACTGGGTTTAATCAAATAACAAAAAGCAAACATTTCTTTATGAAGGTTCCTTCACTATGTTTTTTTCTTTCAAATCATAATTCCAAATAATCATCTTACACATATAAATACATAGTGAAATTACTGCATATGGAATTACAGTATACTCCTTTAAAAATTGACTACTCTGGTATTAAAAAATGGTAATAAAACACACATTTGAATATACAAATACACTAAAGTATATTCCTTTGTTGAGCAATGTAACTCAATTCCACATGGACCTAGCAAAACTGTATCAATTGCACAATATACATAAACAAACCAGGGTAAATCCATGTAGAACTCAGTATTTACAACTAATAGACAAACCAAGATTAGTAATTGTGTTTAGGTAACAAAGTAGCCCATTTAAATCAGCCAGGAATCAGTGGCACCATTCGAAAGATTAGTTTCATCATGTTTTCACACATTCTTATTCTAGACTTCTTGCTCCTATACAATTGAAGTAATTAAGTAACAGCAAGGTTCTAAAGGCTGCAGAAACATGTTCTCTGTCATTACCAGCATCTTTGGGGGGTTGTATATGTTATAATTTATTCTAATTAACATGTTCAATATGATGTTCAACGGCTTCCATATAGTTTTCATGTTCTATACTGGTATCTTGAGGGAGATTCAGCCCTGACAAATCTTGTTTTCGCTGAGCAAGGGGATGCAATGTGGGTTTTTTCTAACCAGTGTTTTTGGTTGCCACATAGGCACTGTATTTGCACTGTATTTCAGGATTCTTTTACACAGAATCTTGACTGTTGTTTAGAGATGGTTCCAGGCTTTGAGAACCTGAGGTCCAGCAAGCAACTTAATGAAGCTACAAGGCTGAAGCACTGGTGTATTTGCAATTGCTCAGTTCATAAACATTTCTCTCATACATATCCATGGCTGAAGACAGGATACACAGAAGCCACTGTTATTAACACTCAGGTTATAAATACATTGATATAACCTTA